GAATGCCTCACAAAAGTTTGTGCACGACCCATTTCGAAGTATTTCCCCAAATGCTTGCTTTAGCATTTCATAGGTTTCCTTAGCCGTTTTGGCGAGTCTTTGGCAAAATTTGATTTGTTCATGAAAATCCGCCATTCCGAAATCGCAGGAGGGTCGGTGTAATGCACTACCAAAACGCCCGTAACTAAGAAACAAATGCTAATTCGATGATGCCGGCTGGCACACTGATTCACTATGAATGTAGGCCGCACCCCCTAAAGGCAGAAGCTCGTACTACATCCGGTTCGCCCGCTATTGACACAGTCTGGAAACTTTCCGATCGCACTTCGTATATATGTCATCATAAAATATAAGTCACTGTAAGTGACTGTACGTACTGTAAGTATAAGTGACTGTACAATTTACTGGTCTGTAGCAATGCATAATCTCCACTCCTAAAAGTTGTAATACAAGTCTTTAACTTCGATGTTAACACCATCATCATATTTGCAATTTCTACCACACGGAACGAGTTTCACGCAAATCTGCTGAAATGTTTACGACCGTTGTACATTACATACGCCGATCTCCAATAATTCATCAGTCATTGTAATCAAACAGAGGAATAAATATACATTTTATCTGGTCACCAAAATGCTATTTTGCATTCACACGTGAACCTAACAAAAATCACATATTCCTTCAATAACTAACACTACTGCCACTATCTTAAGAATTCAGAGGGCATTACTGGTATCGTTGAACGCATAGCATTGAAACATGTAGAGGTAAGACGACCTTCAATAACAAAAAAATCATTAAAATGGGACTAATGCACAAGTTATAATGGGACAGGGTATGCGTGACGGTACAAACACGTAAACATACATATCATTTTACAACCTCACTTATAAAATAAGCAATGAAGGCTAAAAATATATATTAAAAGGCAAATTACTTTAGCAATAAATATTACTCACCCCTTGACAAGCCCTGATGGGCCAATCTGTGTTGCAAACATCAGGTTGAATTCTATGGGTTCAGTCACTTCATTGCCAGTGAGTGGGGACCGGATACTGTATTTTTCCAACACTGCACTCATCTCATCTTTTGTCATGCCATCAAGCTACCAAACGCAATAAAACCATACCTGACAACACTCAACAAATTATATGACCCTGCCACGTAGTTCCAATGGTGCCAATATGAAAGAATTCCAAAAAGACATCAGCAGCAGGAGACAGACAGCCCACATGCTTTCTTAAAAAATGTTTAAAATCATTTTATAAATAGACGACACAAAGATTAAAGGATAAATTCATTTTAGGCACACATCTGACAACGTTCTTTCTTACTGACAGGCTAGCACAAACATCTGCAAAGATGCAATATATTTATTTTAAGCTCGACAATCATGGCCAGTGGATAATCAATGAATTGATTTAAGAAAATAACTAGCTACTAAAAAACTGGTAAACACAATGATTGGTCATTTAATCATTAAAGCCTAATTGTTAGAGCATTAAGATTTCTGTCTTCTGGGTTGTTGCGCTGTGTAGTCTGGTAGATGTTTACCAACGTTTCGGAGGTCATACTGCCTCCATCATCAGGGCGATGAATTCAGTATGACCTCTGAAACGTTGGTAAACATCGACCAGACTACACAGCGCAACAACCCAGAAGACAGAAATCTTCATCGCCCTGATGATGGAGGCAGTATGACCTCTGAAACGTTGGTAAACATCGACCAGACTACACAGCGCAACAACCCAGAAGACAGAAATCTTCATACTCGCCACTGTGAAAACCTCAAATCATACATGTTAAAGCATTCTTTATACCTGTATAAAATCTTGATAAACTCTAAAAATGACTAAGCAAACAAAGTCTATGTTTGTAATTACTCTGACTATTATGTCCTGGCACTCATCTCTGACGGCCTGACCAGTTTTCTTGTCAGCAGCGACTTTCTCGAGGTGAGCTTTAATCAAGTGGTCCAAGCGAAAACACTCTCCATTGACCACATCCTTCACCATAAGATCCGCAAATCTATCCACATGCCCTGATGCCCTGAAAGCACACACAACGCTCTGGTCTGACAAGACAAACTTCTATACGTATTCCAACTATGTGGGATTTTAATACGAAAAGGACGAAGTGAGATACGGCAGCGTTCCGCCTTATATCGTGTTAAAGATACCTGTTACCATCACGCTACATGGGGGCACTGCTTATTTTTCACTTTCAGGACATATCCAATTCAAACACAAGGCTTGAAGAAATTATTCAGAGGGAAGGTTTTTCCAGAATTTTTCTTTATTCAAAGGCTAGAGACAAACCACACGACCAAGAAAATTTAATAAAAAAATAACAAAGAAGAAACAACACAGAATTCAAAAAGAGCAGAAAGGTATATCCTATAATTAAACACACTTCTAAATCTAGTCTTCATTATGATAATTCCAAAATATTTTATGATCTTTCATAGTGCAACTGCTGCCTTGTAGTAGTAGATACTGCTTGAAGCAAAGATGAAATTTTGCACTAAACATTTTAAAAATTTAAAATAATTATCTCAGTATCTAAAGTTCTGTCTGAAACAGTTCCTATTTAGTCAATATTTAGCTGTTCCGTAATTTAGTATTCACAGACACGATCACCTGTGCATGATCGTCACTATCCACTTTCTTATTATCTAAGAATGTCGAGGTATAACACAAATTTTATTTACCTTAGTGAATATGTTGGAAAATCAAAAAGATAATGGAAGACAAATAACATAAAAGGAATAAGAAATAACCAATATGTTTATACGCATAATCCTTTTTTGCAGATAGTTATCACCTATAAAATAATTAACACTACAGAATGCCACAAAACAAAGATTCAGCAAACAGCAAACAAACACTAAAATAAGGTAGGAGAAAAGAGCAATCGAAAATAGCTAGGATATGCAAGTATGGAAAATGAAGCAGAACAAACATTTATCAAATCTAAAACTTCTTGACGATGGTGAAGAGTCAATTGAATAAAAATTTCCTTGGATATTATCCATCGTCTAGTAAATATAAAATGTAGAACAACGTTTCGGAGATGAGACTCTATCTCCGTCTTCAGGTTCCTACGCAGTTGGGCCCACTAGATAGAGCTAATCCGGAGATAGGGGGATTAGCTCTATCTAGTGGGCCCAACTGTGTAGGAACCCTGAAGACGGAGATAGAGTCCCATCTCCGAAACGTCGTTTTACGTTTTATATTTACTAGACGATGGATAATATCCAAGGAAATTTTTATTCAAGAACAAACATTCTTCACAATATTGAAACAGAGGCATCAACCATAGTGACAGAACGCCCCAACTCATAGGTCAAATAAATATTCCATTCAGATTAAAAATACACTCACCCAAATTATAACATACGAGGGGCAGTCAAAAGGTTCCCGGAATTGTGGTATAGCACTGTAATGGTAGGACATAGGGCAACGCTTACCTAATCACCTTCAAAGTAGGACCCTTACCCACACACACACTTGCTCCATTGATCCTGCCATTGGTGGAAGCACCGGCGGAAGGCTTCGTTTGGAATCTTCTGGAGTTCGGCCGTCGCATTCGATTTGATGTCCTCCATGGTTGCGAAACGCGTCCCCTTGAGGCCCATTTTCAGAGTATGGAACAGCCAGAAGTCACTCGGAGCGAGATCCGGAGAGTATGGTGGTTGGGTGATGACAGGAATGCTTTTCTCGGCAAGGAATTGCTGCACAACCAGCGAGGTGTCGAAGTGTGTGTGTGCGCGCGCAAGGGTCCTACTTTGAAGATGATTAGCTAAGCATTGCCATATTTCCTACCATTACAGTGCTATACCACAATTCCGGGAACTTTTTGACTGCCCTACGTATAACAGTCCACCTGAACCAATCATTAACATAAAGAGAAAAGGACAAAATACTGTAAGTAATCACAAATATGGATAGATTTTTGGAGCACACTTTCAATGGAAAAGGTTTTAAAGAATTACAGACTTGAAAGAGGTCTGAATCATGAATCCATCACTACTCATACAACTCTTTGAAACATAAAAGGCAAATTATACCTACTAAGGACTGATATTACACAGCATAAATGACAGGACTACAAATGATGAATAGGAGATGATGTGGAAAGAAATGGCTGTGGCCTATTTCAAGCCAATATGCCAGTATTTGCCTTGATTAACTGAAGATCACACTGCTTCTGAACAGCCCGTCTCAGGACCAAGATCTGAACCCAGGTCTCTTGAATGCACAAGAGTGCTGTCTTCTCAATCACAATGTTTAGTGCCAAATATGGACGAGGAGATGAAAAACAAAGGAAGATTACAAAGTCAATGTAGAAAACGGAAAAAGGGAGGAGAAAAGAGACATGAATTCTTGTTAACTGCCATCATTATGCATAGGCGACTATACTAACTACCAGAACATGTGTAAGGTCAGATGAGATGAGAGGTGACAAATGACTGTTAGCTGGAAATGATACGAGAAAACGTAATCATGTTCTTTCTCAAGGCCCTTGAAGTACTGAACACAACCAGGATCTGTGCTGCTTCTTAGTCATTCACAAACTATCTGGTCTCTACAACTCTGTGATTTCCACTCAAATGGCTTATTAATCATCTTAATGATGGAGGCAGCAGGGACCTCTGAAACGTTGGTGGACATCTACCAGACTACGCAGCGCAGAAGACAGCAATCTATCATTAATTATGTATGTTACTGTTATAGGTCGCTCTGCTGGAGAAAGGTCGCAGTCTCACAGAAGGAAAGAGAATCACAACGAATAGAAAGAAATGGCGCTCCTTAACCCTCGACACCGATAGGTTCAAGAGGACGGCTTGAGCTAAGTGTTATAGGTTGTAATGCCATGTGGGACTACTACATCTTTCTTTACTCAGGGCTCAAGATGGATCCACATGAAGTTAGAAACCAAAATATCATCATCTTCACTATTGCGAGAACCTCAAAACATGTATTACGGATTGTATGAACCTACTTCAGAACTGGTTCAGGCGTGAGAATGGAACAGTCCACTTCCAGCATCTGTTCCTCCAGTACAAAGAAACTGCGCCAGGCATTCAGAATATTTGCTTTGAGTGCACATCCCATCGGGCCGAAGTCAAACTGCCCAGTTATACCTATAAACACACAGAAGTGGTGACACTTTAACCTTTATCTTACTAGTGTTCCCGGCCTGGGAACGTAAATTGTGTAGTCAGTCCTATGAGCGTTCCCGGAGGGGACCTCAAAACTTCCAACATTGTAAGTAGACTTGGCTACGTCTTTTGGCCTCTTTTAGGGGCTGCAAATATTGAATCACTTTCCCTAGGGTTCTGACAAGTTCAACCTGAGCTGTCGACCAGGGAAATATAACCATAAACAGCAACAAACATTGTTATTGTCAAGTGGGTTTCGGCTTCATTTTCAGGCCCCCTATTCAAAGCTTCTCACATTCCTCGGCATGATGGGTGAGAAATATTTTGTGTATCCACTGAAGTAGCTGAAACAAATTTTTCTGTGTGGTCATTAGTTCACAACCATGTCGATTGAGCTTCAAAAGAACAAAGTAAAGTTATTAAGGCCTATTTAGGCAATTAAGACATTAACTGCATTTCAAAAAACTCCTATGTATTCTCTGTTCTATTCGAATAAATATGGCTTTTATTT